CTTCAATCAGATACAATTCATTGTCCCTGAGTCACTTTTCTGAAATTCCCTATCACCATTGTGACAACATCATCACATGGACTTCTGCAATTCAAAGAGAAGGCTGAACTCAGGGCAACAACGTTGTGGAAATAAATAAAACATCAGCAAATTCACCCACATCCTGCAAAATCAAAATAAAAAGTCACAAGTTATAAACCAGATAATTAGGATCCTTGATCACTACTGGACACCATGACTCCAAGGACTCAATCAAGTCACTTTCTACATGGGTAACTAGTTGCTCTTACCATGAATACAGTTCTCAATATCAAGACCCCATAAACCAGAATCACCACATTTAAAAGCCAGGTCACCAGTACCAAAACAATGATCGGGACACTAGCACCACTCAAATTGCCCAATTATCAACCATCTCCCCACTTCTCCAGTGATCTGGCACAAAAGGTCAGAACGTTGCATGTATAAAACAATTTAACATTGTCCATGAACACTATAGAATATTTTTGATAAATAAACAGAAAATGCTTCCCCAAATCCAATCCCTTAAACCGCCCCTCCATCATCCTCATCCATTGACCCACCCAATTAACTCTGTCCCTTCATCCCTCCCAAACAAACCCATCCATTTAACACCATGCTGTCACCCCCTCCCTCCAATGACCCTTTCCCTTGATCTTGCCCGTCCCTTAGCACCTCACTCCACCCACCCCGTCCCTTAGCACCTCACTCCACCCACCCCGTCCGGTAACACCTCCTTCATTGACCCTGTCCTTTGACACCATCCTCTATTGACGCCGTCTCACCATCCTCATTTACCCCATCTCCGGACTCCGCCCTCCCAAAGGCCTGTCCTCTGGCCGTCTCCATGTTGTTGCCCTTTGTTTACAGACATGGACAGTGTGTTGTGGTGGGGAAGGGCAAAGGTACAAAGTTACTCCTGGAGCCGCACTTACCGCCCCACAGCACGTGACACCTCGGTAGAAGTTCCTTCAACGGTGCCCCAGGTGCACAGAGAAAGAGAGATGGCCCGTTCGCCGAGTTTGTGAGCCTGTCGCCGGGTACCGCGACCGATGAACGTTGACAGCCCGGAACCCGAATCCGGTCACGGGAGAGGGAGGGGAACCGAACGACGGCCAGACCCCACGGGCACGCATGCGCGAGCGCCGCCGTCACGCCCGTTGACGTCACCACGTCGTAACGTATCAACCTTAGTTCACCTTCCTTGTCTACACACGTGGTTTCTTCTTCAAGATCAGCTTATGCATGAGGGTCACTTCCTCCTCCTGCTGTTTCCCCCACCTTCACCCTACTCACACCAAATCTCTGACTCCTCCAACTAACGACCACGATGACAGAAAGTGCTTGAAAAACTTAGCAGGTTTGGCAAAGAGAAACAGTAAATGTTTCAAGTCCTGCATAACATCTTCACTTTGTTTCTCTCTCCGCAGATGCTGTCAGACCTGCTGTGTTTTTCGAGCACTTTCCGTTTTTGGGTTTCATTTTTACAGCGTCTGCACCGTTTTGATATTATTTAACTACTGGCGTCAGCACAGCATTTTTAAAATTGCCCTTGTACGTTCTGTTCTTGAAAATAAGTGTCTTGGTATTTTACTAAATGTCCAAAAGCAGACTCAGCAAGTGATTAGAAGGATAGCTGTAATGACATTCATTAATTGGTCATGGAATAAAGAAGTAAAGATATTTTCTACAGTTTGATGGGGTATTGATGAGAGCACATCTGTGGTAGTCTGCCAATTGTTTTGGTCAATTATTTCAAGAAAAGACATAATTGCATGAGAAGCAGTTCAACCCTCAACAACTTCTCTTTCAATTCCTCCCACTTCCTACAGACAAAAGGGGTGGCCATGGGTACCCGCATGGGCCCAAGCTATGCCTGCCTCTTTGTAGGTTACATGGAACAATCCCTCTTCCGTACCTACACTGGCCCTAAACCCCACCTCTTCCTCCGTTACATTGACGACTGTATCGGCGCCGCCTCGTGCTCCCACGAGGAGCTCGAACAGTTCATCCACTTCACCAACACCTTCCAACCCAACCTTAAGTTCACCTGGACCATCTCTAATACCTCTCTCTCCTTCCTGGACCTCTCTGTCTCCATCTCTGGCAACCACCTAGAAACCTATATCCATTTCAAGCCCACCGACTCCCACAGCTACCTAGAATACACCTCCTCCCACCCACCTTCCTGCAAAAATGCCATCCCCTATTCCCAATTCCTTCGCCTCCGCCGCATCTGCTCCCAGGATGAGGCATTCCACTCCCATACATCTCAGATGTTATTGTTTTTCAAGGATCGCAACGTCCCCCCCTCAGTGGTCGAGAATGCCCTCGACCGTGTCTCCCGCAACTCATCCCTCACACCCCCTCCCCGCAATAACGACCAAAACAGAATCCCCCTCGTCCTCACGAACCACCCCACCAACCTCCGGATCCAATGCATCATCCTCTGACACTTCCGCCATCTGCAATCCGACCCCACCACCAAAGACATTTTTCCCTCCCCACCCTTATCTGCTTTCTGGAGGGACCACTCTCTCCGTGATTCCCTTGTCTGCTCCACACTCCCCTCCAGCCCCACCACCCCCAGCACTTTTCCCTGCAACCGCAGGAAGTGCTACACCTGCCCCTACACCTCCCCCCTCACCCCCATCCCAGGCCCCAAGAAGACTTTCTACATCAAGCAGATGTTCACCTGCACATCTGCTAATGTGGTATACTGCATCCCCTGTTCCCGTTGTGGCCTCCTCTACATTGGGGAAACCAAGCGGAGGCTTGGGGACCGCTTTGCAGAACACCTACACTCAGTTCGCACTAAACAACTGCACCTCCCAGTCGCGAACCATTTCAACTCCCCCTCCCATTCCTCAGACGACATGTCCATCCTGGGCCTCCTGCAGTGCCACAACGAGGCTACCTGAAGGTTGCAGGAACAGCAACTCATATTCCGCTTGGGAATCCTGCAGCCCAATGGTATCAATGTAGACTTCACAAGCTTCAAAATCTCCCCTCCCCCTACCGCATCCCAAAACCAGCCCAGCTCATCCCCGCCTCCCTAACCTGTCCTTCCTCCCACCTATCCCCTCCTCCCACCTCACCCCCACCCCCATCTCCTACCTACTAGCCTCATCCCGCCCCCTTGACCTGTCTGTCCTCCCTGGACTGACCTATCTCCTCCCTAACTCCCCACCTACACTCACCTTTACTGGCTCCATCCCTGCCTCTTTGATCTGTCTGTTTCCTCTCCACCTATCTTCTCCTCTATCCGCCTCCCCCTCTCTCCCTATTTATTTCAGAACCCCCTTCCCCTCCCCCATTTCTGATGAAGGGTCTAGGCCTGAAACGTCAGCCTTTCTCCTCCTGTGATGCTGCTTGGCCTGCTGTGTTCATCCAGCTCTTCACCTTGTTATCTCACCTGACAGATTCCTGGGATGAGGGGGTTTATCCTATGAGGAAGGGTTGAACAGCTTGGACAAACATCCATTGACATTTAGGAGAATGAGAAACAATCTTATTGAAATATATAAAGTCCTGAGAAAATTTGACGGGATGGAAGCTGAAAGAATGTTTTTCCTTGCGAGAGACTTAAGCACAACAGGACATAGTTTTAAAATGAGACAGCGATGAAAATTTATTTCTCTCAGAGGGTCATGAGTCTTTGGAACTCTCTTCCTCAAAGAAAGGTGGATTCAGTGTCATAGAGTCATAGAGATATACAGCACAAAAGCAGACCCTTCGGTCCAACTCATCCATGCCGACCAGATATCCTAAATAAATCTAGTCCCATTTGCCAGCATCTGGCCCATATCCCTCTAAACCCTTCCTATTCATATACCCATCCAGATGCCTTTTAAATGTTGTAATTTTACCAGTCTCTACCACTTCCTCTGGCAACTCATTCCATACACACATCACCCACCCTCTGCATGAAAAAATTACCCCTTAGGTCCCATTTAAATCTTTCCCCTCTCACATTAAACCTATGCCTTCTCGTTTTGAGCAACCCCCCCCCGCGACCCTGGGGAAAAGACCTTGTCCATTTACCCCATCCATGCCCCTCATGATTTTATAAACCTCTAGAAGGTCACTCCTCATCCTTCGACACTCCAGGGAAAATAGCCCCAGCATTTAATATTTTAAGGCAGCGGTAGTTACATCCTTTACTAACCAGGAAGCCAAAGGGAGTGGGTGTTGACACACAGGAAAGTGGATTGAAGGCTACAGTCAGAACAGCCAGTAATTTTTTGACTGGTGGAGTAGGTCTGAGCTGTTGAATCGCATCCTCCTGCTTCTAAATTTCATGTAGCTCTGTATACTTATACACTTTAGCAAAGTGACTCGATAAGGGTCGTGAGATTTGATGTTATCACTTTAATTATGAAATACTGCAGTTAATTATAGATGTAGCTTGCGAATTCTGATTGAAATCTTTGTGTTTAGTTCAGACTTCAGAATTCAAACTATTCTGCAAGGTAAAGTTACTCAATGGATAAATCTACTGTGGACAATCAAAGCCAATGCTTCGATAAAAAAAAACACATCGAACAATCATTTTGCATAGTTTTTAAACTCACTCTGAACATGTTGATTAGATGTTTTAAAATGAAGTGAGATTGGTTTGAGGTTGGTAAGTTTGGAAACGCATTCTTATTTGCTAAAATGTCCGGTCAATTAAGTCCTTATTGTACATATTGTACAAAATCCGCTTGTTGAACATTTATAAACTGGACCGCAGTTTGTATAACATATTACTAATTATTTATTCTAACAGCGCTTTTATCAAAAACTTGCTAAATCAGTCCTAATTGCGAATATTATAACGTACACTGTCTTGTTAAATTCAAAGTTTCCTGACACAGATAACAAAGTTGGTGGAGATGGCGGCTAATTGTTTCTGCTCCATTCCCGCCGGAAGGGTGGTAACAACGTTCCCTTTCACTGACTCAACAACTAGAGTCAATCATAGTGTTATCTACGGCTAGCTGAAAGATTGTGGATTGTAATATAAAGCTCGAAGTGAATTCGGTTCTGCACGCTGATCAGTGAAGGCGAAATTGTAACCGATTGTTCTCGGAGTTTTTGCTCGGGTTTTGTTTTTGAACTTCCAGCACACAGCAGCAGACTCTGTGTCCTGAATTGATCCATTCATTAAGTCGGTCGGAGTTCGATGCTCTGAGGTGTACTTTACCATTCTGTGCACGGATCAGTTTCCAGGCTCTCATCAGATCGGGTATCTGCTCATGTAAGAATGAATAACCTTAACCAAATCGGACAATGCAGTATCAAGGACCGGATATAGGAACATCAAAACTGAATTTCACAAGATTGCTTGAGATTGAGAGAGGAATTGTAATATAAAACTCCTTTAGTCAAAGATAGGAACCTCAAAATTGTAATCACTTGATGTCAAGAATGGTCCAAATCTAAATAGTTTCTTGTCATGTTTTCAGATTATTTCCACACCTTAAATGGAATCAGATTCCAACAGTGTCACTTTATTTATGTATGCATCAGTTCGAACTATTGACTTAGCATAGCTTCAGGGAAATTTTTTTTAACATTTAGAGCGTTTTGAAACAAACTAGTACATTATACTTTTAAAAATCTTTTCTGATATCAGATTTAATATTATATTAAAAACAAGCAGAATTTATTTAAATTCCTCTTTACATTAATAACAAGTGCAAAACTAGGAAGCCAGTGTGTAGACATCCTACTAACCCCAATGTAAAAACAGCCAATAAGATGTAATCCATGCAATCAAAATTGGCCTTTGCTTATATAGAAAAGATATGTGATGCAAAAGTAGGCTTTTTAAAATTTATTTATGGCATGTGGTCACTGACTGGTCCACCATTATTACCTATTCCTAGTTGTCCTTAGGAAGATACTAGCATGCTGTTGTCTTGAACCACTACAGCCTATCTGGTGTAGGCAAAAACACAATGTTTGCAGTTCCAAGATTTTGACCCAGTGACAGTGAAGGAATGGCAATATATTTCCAAGTCAGGATGCTGGGTGGCTTGGAGAAGAAATTGCAGCTGGTGATGTTCCCATGCATCTGCTGCCTTTAGTTATTCTCAATGGTACTGTCAGAGATTTGGAAAGCGCTGTCTAAGGAGCTTTGGTGAATTTCTGCAGTGCATCATATTGGTGGTACACACTGTAGCTACAGAGCATCAGAGGAAAGAGTCATTTTTTGTTAATTTGATACCATTCAAGGGGGCTGCTCTGTACTGGATTAGTGTCAAATTCTTGAGTGTTGTTGGAGCTGCATTCATCTAGGCTATTCCAACACACTCCTGCCTTGGGCCTTGTAGATAGTGGGCAGGCTCTGGGGACTCAGGAGGTGAGTTACTTGCTTCAAGGTTTAAGCCTCTGACCTGCACTTGTAGCCACAGTATCTATAGACTAGGTTAGGGAGAATAGTGAATTGTGAGGATGATGCTGATTGACTTCAGAGGGACATTGACAAATTGGTCACATGGGCAGACATTTGACAGATGAATTTCAATGCAGAGAAATATGAGGTAATGCATTTTGATTGAGGAAACACAGGGAGATGATACAAGCTCAATGGTACAATATTGAGGGGAGTACCGGAGCAGAGGGCTCTCGGGGTTCACCTGCATGATTCTTTGGAGGTGGTCAGGCAAGTTTAAACAGTTGTTAAGGCAGCTTATAGAATCCTGTGTTTATCATCACAGTCATGAATTATAAAAGCCCAAGGAAGTAATGCTATGCCTCTACAAATCATTGGTCAGACAACATTTGGAGCATTGTGTTCAGTTCTGGGCACCTTATTGAAGGAAGGATGTTTAGGCCTGGAGAGAGTTCAAAGGAGATTTACAAAAACAATACTAGAAATGAGGGACTTTAGATACGAGAAAAGATTAGAGAACTTGGGTTATCCTCCCTGAAGCAGAAAAGATTAGGAAGTAATTTTATTGACATGTTCAAAATTATGCACAATGTTGACAGGATAAAGAAGGACATTCTATTTCCACTAGTTAGTATGTCAGTAACTAGGGGTCACAATTTCAAGATTGTCAGCAATGAGAGCTAGGAGTGAGATGAGGAGAAACTTCTCTGCTCAGAGAGTTCAGAATCCTGAAGGGGGAAGGGAAGACGGGTTTAGAAGTGAGATCATGCTGGAGATGCAGAAATAGTGGGGGGTGACCCATTGAATGGTGAAGGCTAGTGGAGTGGAAGGAAAGGACGAGGGGATTGCATTCAAGAGCATGGAGAAGAGAGAGCAGAACATTGGGAAATGAGACGAACACAGTCAACAGTCTTATCAATCATGGTAGAAGAGAATTGAGGATAAAATAAGACATTGGAGAAAGTGGTTGAAAGGTAGCAACATCAGAGTAGAAGTGACTCAAAAATGCATCTTGGATGCATCTGATTTCCAGTTTTTTTTGATTTATTTTATATTTCCAGCATGTATAGTAGTTTGCTTTAATAATCATACCATATCCTTTTAAAGCAAACAGGACATTTTGGTGTTATATTAGTCTGTGAAGCATAACTGTCTCTGTGGTACATTTCTACATTACAAAGACTGGCTTGGCTTGGCTTCACTGAACAGTTTCAACTATATAAGGCATGTTATCTGTTTGTGTAGATTTCCTTGTGCTAATATGCCAAAATCCATTGTACAACAAGCTATTTGGCAGGAATCCAGTCAGCATTTTATTTCCTTGTATGGACAAATGCCTGGAATGGGAGGGGAGGGAACTTAAACAGCTGTCACTAGACATTGGATGGTGTGAACACATGACTTGTACATCAGTTTAGGCAGAGCAAAAACTGGCATTGCTCTGGCACTTTATACTTGAAGAAAATTTTGTATTTCTCATCTTTTTTTGAATACAGGTAAGAAGTATTTATGGATATAGTATCTATGGATATAATTGTAAGTTATCAATATTTAGCACTTTCTCGCTGTTATACTGAGTTGGGAGAATTTTTAACTTTAGAAACTGCAGTCTTGTGTCAGTTTGCCAAATATGCATCTTTAGAGGAAGCAATACTAAAGTTAACTTTACAGGACAACTCAAAGACTTGTGAAAGGGGACACCAATAAGTACATAAATAGAAACAGATTTTTTAAAAAATAGGATTAGCAAAATGTTTTTACTACAAAATTAGAGCATTGATTTGAACTTGAGAAATGCTTGGGCGGAAACAGTAAGCAGTTTTACAAAATTTAAAACTCATGGATAGTTGAGAAATTTGATGGTCTTCACAACTGTTAATCTGTGTAAACTGTAAACTCATTCATTCATTAACTATTGGTTTTACTCTATATAAACATGTCACATTGGAGAAGATTTTCTCTGTTCCTTTTATAGTGGCATCAAAAGACAACAGGAAGATTTCTTGCAGCAACGTACTTCTGACTATGCTTGATACTGTTATCACGGGACTTTTCTTTCATTGTATGGAATAGTTAGTTGACTTTCCCCATTTAAGGTTGCAGATTTATGAAAGAAAGCTAAAGGTTATTATTTATTTTTAGCATGTTGTCAGCTTCTACTATTTAAATGTTGAAAAAATTTGTTGTGTAATCCCATGAGTCCGCTCTGTGTAGTTAGTGATTACTACATTCTTCTGGATAAAAAAAACTGCACATTTGACAATGATTACAGCAATGTTATCTCCAGGCATTGGTCTGGTAATCAGTCTAAAGCCAGAGACTATTGCTTGCATTCCTGAGCTTCCAAGGAGCATAAACATTTCATTGCAAAGAGTGGTTAGCTTGTTAAATGAACTGTGAACTTTTGGGTAGATTTCACTGGGGCGGTTTCTAAGCCGGTAAACAAGATTTCAAAATGGCTAAGAAATGAAAAAAACCTTCTTGGATCTAATGAAAAACACATTAACTTTATTCCCACATGGCAATTCTGAGCAAGGGTTAACATGAAAATATTAGCTGAACAAAATGGAGTTGGTGGGAGTTGGTTTCAAATATCGGTCAAAGTCAGAATAACAAAAACAACCTGCACTTGGGTATAAATAGCATTGTTTTATAGCAACAAAAGCTGCAGCGCCTTAAGATTTAAAAGATACCACATATAACTAGACAAAAGACATTGCACCATTTATTGCAAGTCCCAAAGCAAATTTTTTTACTGAAGCAAAACCAGAAAATGCTATAGATACTCAACAAGTCAGACAACATATGTGGAGAAAGAAAGAATGTTAATCTTGTAAATCAATGACTTTTTGTTTTATCATAACTCAAATGTTCTTCTCTGAAGGCATTGCTGATGTTAAGGTTCAGCTTCAAAGATGGCAGCCATGCTGAAGCAAGCTTTATCTAAATGTCTATTCACAAGTGAATGTCAGGAAGATATCTGACCAAAAGAAGCAATTCAGTCAAGCCCAATTCTAATATCCACACATTGGAAAAGGCACTTTATAGCAAGCAGGTCTAATGGGTCATTTTCTCTTTCCTTTGTTTTTAATTCCATTACTGGGGATTTGGTTAGCTTATTTGGCTGGATAGCTGGTTTGTGATGCCAAAGGTGTGGGTTCAGTTCCACACTGACAGGTTACCATGAAGGACTGTCCTTCTCAACCTCTCCCCTTGCCTGAGGCATGGTGACTCTTGGGTTAAAACACCACCAGTCATCTCTCTCTAATGAGATATCATATTAAAAATGAAAGAACTGCGGATGCTGTAAATCAGGAACAAAAGCAGAAGTTGCTGGCAAACCTCAGCAGGCTGGCAGTATCTGTGAAGAAAAAGTCAGAGTTAACGTTTCAGGTCTGATCCTTCTGAGGAAGGGTCACCAGACCTGAAATGTTAACTCTGACTTTTTCTTCACAGAAGGGACTGCCAGCCTGCTGAGATTTTCCAGCAACTTCTGTTTTTGATCTGTACCATACTTCCCCTACTGTCAACGTTCGCATTTACAGCATAGATTGCAGTTCAACCTGGTCTATTTTCATGTTCATGCAAAATGGTTTACTTTAAAACTGAGCTATTGGGAATCTATTTATTGATTGATTCCTGTTTATTCATTTATTCTTTCACGAATATGAGCATCTCTGACAAGGCTAGCGTTTGTCGCCCTAATTACCAAATTATAGTGAACCACTTCCGTGAATTGCTGCAGTCTAGCTGGTTTTGCTACATTCACAGTGCTATAGGAATAATTGCTTGTTAATACATAATTTGAATATTGCTTGTTGCAAAAAGTTGAAGCTTTTTGTCTTGCACTCACCAGGATC